TCGATTTGAATCAAAAAATTATGCGGTTTTGGACAGCCTTAGGTGTATTAATATTTAAGCTCAATAATAGGCCACTTATTACGTTGTTTATTGATGTTGTGATCTTTCACTTCATTTATTGATATTCAGAAAAACTGCACAACATCCGCTGATTGCCCGGCAAATAATATGTGCGCTCAAGGCGACTCAGCGCCGCCCAGTATTTGTGGTTGCCCACTTGGATTTGAAGGAGAGGATTGTACGGAACGTGAGTATTCTATATTTTGTTTGCATTTCTCAGAATGTCGAGCTGGGGCGCCATTCGCCAAACTTCTTTATAGTTCAACGCAGGGATCACCAAACTTTTTTGACCGCGGGCCGGGTATGACTGTGTTGAAGCGGGCCGTATGAATATTTTTGTCAATGCAATACAATAAATTCACAAAAGTTGAGAAATCCATTCAACAATATATATTCTACATTTTTGAAGACTTTAATATTAATTCTATCTATATCGCAGAATATCGAGGAAACAAATAAACAAGATTTCTATATCTAGACAACTATTCTGAGTTGAGCTGTTATCAAAACGTTGCTAGGAGTGTTACAAAATCTGCTTTTTCGCGCCAAAAATGTACGTACGCATCACGTCTGCTAAGTACCGTTACGCCGTGTTGGAATACCGCCCATAAAAACGACTACGGACTGACTGCTGTAGCTTGGAATTCCATGAAATTTTGACATAATTTAGATAAAATAAATATCTATTATCTGGATTTTTTCATTAGCGCATAAATTTTCCAACATTTGGAGCTTTTAAAAATCACGCTCCAGTTATAGGCTACGTTACTACGTAGTCCAAATTAATGATATTGTCTATGGAAAATTTATATGGACGTGTGTATTTTTTTTCCTAGCTTGCAACATACCAAGTTTTATGAAGTTTGTACAATCATCGTTAATTATTACCCACAATGAACCACTGTCAAACTATCAACTCTGGCGTTTATTTGTGACGATCTTTCGGCGGTGTCAATGACTGTTGCCAGAATAAAATCCTGAAATAGTCTCAGTATTCCATAGATGTGGCGCACACCGAAATTAACGATTTATATGTGTCATTTTTCATATTTATTACAGTTCTTATCGAAAAAAGTAATACAAAAATAGTAAAGTAAAATTCCGATATCTTTGTTATTTCTTGACCGTTTTTTTATAAACTTGGTATTGTTTTCTTATTTTCACTTAGATCTATCCACTGGCGCAGTTTTCATTTAAATCGGATGGACTTTGTAACATTTTTTTGTAATATACCTACATGAATATATATCCGCATTTGAGCAATACAGAAGTTAGTGTGACTTGTGAAATTGGAAGCAGTACGCGAGGGATCACAGTACTGTTGACGCCAAAATGCACATTCGACGTTCATTTTATCACAAGAAACGTAAACAATTTCGTCGAAAGCACGCGCACCGAGTGTATAAGTGCATCTCTCGCAGAAAATGTTGCGTATCGGTTGAGAACTGTAGCCTATTTTGTCACAGCTATTTCTAGACTAATTTCTCATTACTACTATTAAAACTACAACTCCTAAGAAGGCAAATGATGATTGACTTATTTGATTCCTAATTAAATTTCCGAAACACAAACAAAAACTAACGACTAGCATTCAAAATCGCAAAAACGAAGTATTGTTTACAACCACAACTGAAAATCCTTTAGGGTGACAAAAGTGTCCGAGCGGATGCGAAAAGGCCTATTATTACGTCGCTTTTTAGCATCTTGCTGATTGGCCATTGTTACGAAATAAACAAGGAAGACGATGCTCTGACATATCGTCTTCGGAAAAAAAATTAGCCATTTTTGCGTGTTACTGCGGGCCGGATAAAATGACGCCGCGGGTCGTAGTTTGGTGACCCCTGGTTTAACGTGTTAGTAAAGCCACTTTCTCGTAAAAGGCAAAAATGGTATTTTCGAAGTATCGTTAATATTCGAGAGAACTAACCAACTAACAGCGTACTAACATCAAATATGGGATTACATATTCATCTATTTTATTGTCTGTTACAGAAGTAGTTTAACAATATGTATCTCAGAATTTATTTCATTCATCCATAGATTACTGCTATATTCCCCATACTTTAAATCACAGGCTGCAAAAAGTAAAACAGAGATCATTGCAAAATAGGCTCATCCGTGCCGGGCGGCTAGCAACAGTGAGTGATACGGTTGAGTGATCATACTGTGGTTTTTGTTCAACGACGACCATGCGTTAGATTTCGAGAGAACTTGCGTGACAGTGCGTAAAGTTTTTACGAGATGTTTCGTGAATCGCACCTAACGAGATTTCGTAACTGCGTTTTTGAGAGACAAGGTTATGTGCTCGTAAACGTGGCTTATTACGAAGTTTGGCGAATGGGGCCCCTGATCTTGTCTAGTGATGTGAGAATAAGTGAAACAAATATATATTGTTCAACAGGACAAGTTAGCATCGACGACAGATGTCCTTTTCCCGATGATCTGATTGATGTTTGTGTTGCTTCCCAAATAGACTTCCAATGTTCTGAAGATAACACATGTCCGGATGGAGAAATATGTTGCATAGGAGCAAATGGATGTTCAACCCACTGTATTCCAATAGGTCAGTGCTATAGATACTAATGCTTTTGTCGGTCACTACTATAACCGGGAGTATTTGCTTGTGTTATGATTTTAAAACCGAAGAAAAAAAATTCATGCAGTAAATAACCTTAGAGATTACGTAAACCAATATGGATATGGCCCCAATAGTTTTGGCCTGTGCTGTAGAGGGCATATTGGGATACCCTATTTGATAAGTTTGATTTTTAATACACACAATTCACCGGTTTAGGCTATAGATTTCTTTCCTTTAATATCTCAAGTTTAGTATGAGCGTACAGTGAGTTACTGCTAGTTGAGGGTTTCGTTATATTCTCATTTGTTTTGCAAGAATCACAAACACACCAAATATCTGCAATTCCACATTCATTTTTCACAATTAATATTTAGTTCAGTATCGTATCAACTAACGATGTCTGAGACTTGATTTTATCTGAATTAATTTTACAACTCCAAGCATTACCATAAATATCCGGTAACAAGTAGTACCCGATAATCTCATGAAAGTGAAAATCACTTAACACGAAATTGTTTAAAACGACTACCAATATTAATAAACACGACCGAAGCTTTTTTTAATTTGCTTTTAAGCAGCGGGCCGTGATTTGTGTCAGGAACGTGTACGATAAATGAATGCTCGGGAACGTCAAGTCTAAACATTGTGACATTCTTCTAAATATTTAAAACAAGAACAAAATTTGGTGTATGCTTCGTCATTGCAAACCGAGAGCTTTAATTCAAACGGACAAAACTTAAAAAAAAAACGGTTTGAGGAAAACATATATAATTATTGCTCAGGAATATCAATTCCAAACTAATGACATTTTCCAATACATTTATAACCATCAGAAAAATCTTGATTCGCCAGCGTAAACGCGATTTAATTTTATAAAACTATATTTTTGCGGAACTCACACACTTAAAGCTTATACTGCTGCATTATACGTTACATGAGACTAGTGTCCGATTAACCGTTGGTTTTATTCATTGGTTGAATAAATTCTCTGCGCAGTTCTCTTACTTTTTATTCGGTCATGCCGACGTTATCTTGTTCATAATTGCAATACTTTTTGGCTTTCGTTGTCTTGAGATTTGATCGACCAATTAGAATGACTGATGCTGCACAGTACTCCAATATACCAGTATGCTTGAAGCAGAGTGAGAGCTGTCTATAAGCAGAATATATCGCCCATTTATGAGTTAACTTTTCGTAGTGTAAGATTAAGTTTAAGACAGCTTCCCCATTTCATCTTGATACTAAAACGTTACTGCTAAATGTGATGAAATATTGTTATTATGCAGGCTGTAACGACCCCGTTGATCGTAAAACATGCACCGATCAGAACAAAATCTGCATGGACGACGATTCTATTGCAGGTTTCATCTGTAAATGTCCTTTCGGATACAGCGGAACTATGTGCGCCACGCGTAAGTTTTCATACTTTATCGAATACAAAATCATTTTTCATAATATTTCTGCATTTTTTCCAAACCAGACTGACCACAGCTGCATAATTAATGTATCGTAATTCGTAACCCAGAATTATTTATTATTAGGAAAAAATTAACAGCAGAATGGTTAGCAATAGATAACAAATTTTCCTCATTTTATTTTAAAACCGATTTTCCATGAAAAACACAGTAATTTCGATTATCTGAATAAAAAATATATAATTCAAAAAGTATAATTTTGTTCGAAATTATAAATGATAAAAATAAGCACCTGATGTCTTATTTAAAATAAGTTCGGCCCATTTCGCTATTATTCGGTATCTCTCCGTACTCCGCTCAACAGATTTAAATTCATTAGTGAACTAGGCGTCCAAAAGACTAATAAGTTTTTATTAACCATCCAGCATTTGCCGGTTTTGACGCGGAATGTCCATTTCCCGACGTTCCTGGAGATACTTGTGATGAGTTTGAAACCACCCCGACCTGTACGAAAGCTGACGATTGTGAAGACGAGGAAGTATGCTGTTCAACAGGTTGTGGAACGGCTTGTGTGGATCTTTCAGGTAAGCAGTTCAAGGCATGACCGACTTCAGTTAATTTAGCGATATTTCTCCACTCGAGTTAGTTGTATGAAACAATATTAAACATCACTTTACAAAAAGGCTGAAAAATTGGGAATTCGGGTGGGTTATGAAGAACTGAGCTATCTATGTTCAAGAGTTTTTTTCAACATGATCAAGGCTCATCCACCGGAATTAAAGAAGTTTAAGGATAAAAGATTGGATTTAAAGTTCGCGTTTGGCAGTCGTCGGGTGCGGTCGCATTTTTGAACGGTGCAGAAAGACTGAATTGACAACAATGAACTAGCACTGAAGGAATATCAACAAGTAAAGACCGAAATATGAAATTACATGGCAGCATAAAGGCAACATACGGACATCATAACAGAATCACATCAGGGATTGATTCAGATATTTTATTTTGCGAAGAAGAGTATGATATAGAATTGAGGACCGTCAGCAGATACTGCTATTTCTAGAAATTCCGCTTGTAAACTAAATGAGTATTCAACTATATATATATGCAGTGTTCACTATTAGCGCACTTTTTTGCGAAAATTGCGAAGCACTTTCGCAACTTTTTTTAGGGACTGCGAAATAGCACTTTTTTCCGATTTTGAAGAGAAATAGCACTTTTTTTCGATTTTGAATGGAAAAAAAATTCAAAGTTGATAAATATTTTTGTGTGCGTATTAAGTTGACAAATAAGTAACATACTAGTACTTTTGTAACTCAATTCTGCATATCATAACGATATTTACCGGAATTCTAACCTATGTGGTGAAGACACGGAAGATAAAGCTTTTGCATTGATGGCAAAATTCTTGTTTATAATATGATTATTATACAAGCACACTGATTCCGCTTCCACCGCGAAAACGCTCCGCGGCGTCTTTGAAACCAGATGTCAGAATGCAAGGCAGTGCGTTTCTCTAAACGAGAGTGGTCATGTGACTGTCAATGACATCGATGAATTGTGACCAAAGTACACGATTTTCTAGTACTGGTTTGACAGGTCTGTGTTCTCTTCTTAGTGAATTTACTGGAGCCATTCAGAAATTTCTGATACTCGACACGACATTGTTAAGTAATGGAATGTAAACTTGGGCCATTGTTTGTTAAATTAGAAGAAACTTTTAGCAGCATCACACAGATTTGCAAAATCGCCAAATTGACAAAATACATACGTCGTCGTATTAACATTTAACAGCCATTTTATTGTAACCACGAATGATAAAAGCAAATGGCGTTTCGCGGAATTTTGCGATATTCAGTATTAGCTAGTCTAGTCATTCACGATAAATCAAACTCAGACCGGGTCAAAAATCAATCTAAACTATTTCCTCATTAATATGCGAGTAGGGGTTGGCAAAATCGAATATTTTTTCGAATTGAATATTTTTAACGAATCAGGAATATTTTTTATGCACAGCAGGAGTCTAGAACGTCGGTCGAAAAATTAGCAAGTAAGCCTTTTCTACTGGTTAATTTCGTTATAATAGCTAATTGTTTTTGTCACCGCAATCGTTTTGGCGACTATATCCTGGGTTTGGCAATCCAGGCTTACGCGTGCGTTCACATCGGCAACAGCTGTTAAGGGCATTACGACAAATTTCAAAGCCAAAATAAACATTTGCGTTGACTTGATATTACCTATCAACGTTTGCAAATTTACTGTCCCAATTTTAAGCGAATGGTATTATTATTATCGATGCCGGAATGCAGATATTAAGACGATAATTAACTTTTATAATTTTTTTATGGTGTCTGTATTAATTTACAGATAAACCTCGCAAATCTGAGATTGTGCCAATCCTGAATGTTGATTTAAAATTGTGATTAAATAATTCGGCAATGAAGGCATTTCTGCGTGGCCATAAGACGAGATGACTTTAATAAATATTTATTTACATATATTACATATATTTATTTTACATATGCGACTAATGCTAAAAACATTGGGCTCCAGTGCTCTGGTGCCTAATCAGGCGCTAATTGCAACTAATTCAACTTAAGTTTCAACGACTTTTTTCGTCTTCACGATATGTTATCTTTTTTATTCGGCGCTGATAATGATAAATAAAAAATGTGTAATTGTTGATTGCAATTCCGGAAAACGTATTTTCCTTCCTCACCATGAAACGAATTTAACCACAGTTAACCGCGCATTGGAAAACAAAACACAATTTATTAACATTACTTTACAACGAGTTACGGGTAAGAATTAACCAGACGGCTATCGCTAACATGTAGAAACAATAAATTTGAAACGATTTTGTATAAAGCGTGTCAACATCGTTTTTGTAAATTTAGAAACGTCGATAAGTAAGACAAGTAAATAATGTATTTTATGGAACTTTCATGGGATATTGGTGAAAAATATTATTTTGACCATGTCGAAATGCCATTATTGCCGATTTATTCACGTGTTTAGTTACTATCAGTGTTTTAACCCAAAGCTGAGTTACGTAAATACTTAACACTGAGTACTCAAGAGATAACCAATTTGCGGAGTTTTTCAATTATTATTTAATACGAAAGTAATACGGACACGATCTAAAATTAAAAGCATAGAAATGTCAACTATCTGCTTCACAAATATCGCATCCCGGGGTCAGTAATAATATTATTGTTCGCTTAAACTCGGGACCGTAATTTACGAACTGATACAAATCCTACACAGAAGATAAAAAATCAGAACAAAGTCAATTTTCGTTGTGAATGCGCTCATTAATAGTTGTCTTTAAAATCTTCGCCGATGTGAATTCACAATTCTATCCGAAATATAAAAACCAAACTACGATGCCCGCCGTTACGTGAGAATTAATATTTGCTAGTGAATAAAAACATGCTTTAGTATAGTTTAACAACACCATCGCGGCGACAAAAAATTTACTGCAGCCTTCGATTATGACAAAATTATGAAATAATCATTGGATGCCAATAAAAATTTAACTTCATTAACAATAATTTTCAAGTAATAGTTTCACATTTTCATGATTTTGATCATCGCTACATGCGAGCGTGTTTTTGTACATATAAACCATGATGACACTACTGACATCTGCGAGTTATTGATCTCTCCAAAGTTAATTTTCGCGATTTTTAATGTTTCATTTCTAGATGCGGATGCCCGCTGACTACGGATAAATGGCCGATGTTTTAAAATAGGACTTCGGACCGTTGGGCAAAGAGAGGCGGGCTACACGTAACTGCGAAATTTCGCCGTGAACGACCTTACATTTTAGTTATAAACGCATTACGTCGTCGCGAATTGCAGTTTTGGTGTAATGTTTTAACTTCCCCCTAATCTCCCCTTGAAAAATTCCTGTCTGCGCCCCTGCCCGGTGATAATTATAGCTAGAATGTTACAATTTTATTTACGGAATTTGCAAATTCACCATTTTGATAATCACGCCCTAATTATTGGTGCAAAAATACTCAAAATTTAACGAATTTAATCATTTCCGATGTTAATAGGCGCAATTCATGACGGAGACAGTGTGCGTTGTTACATCGAAATTCACGATTGATTTTACGTTATACTCTTGTTCACGATTTCAACACTCCACCCGCCATGCATGGCTGAGTGGAAGGTTCACATTTTCGAAACATTACTTGGCCAAGGATGGGAGGGATCACTAACGAGCTAATTGAAAGCACATTAAAAGGATTAGGACTTGTCATTTTTTTCTGGTTATAGCCTGTAACGTCAATTTAACTTTTAATTTTCGACAATCAATTGTATGTGCGGCTCCTACATGAAACTGCTAATACATGCTGCCAATATACGGAGTTTGAAATCTGGGATATTTATTTCGAATAGTCTATTTATTTTGACTCTTCTAAAATTAGAAAGCTTTGTTGGTACCTTTTTTGGCGCAAAGTATGGAATTGAAACGATACGAATATTTTGCCCAGTCCTATAGGCGAGGTTATGATATTAACGCAGAGAATATTTGTAAGCATATCAGTGGATGGAAATATTTTGCACCAAGACTGTTTGCAGAAGTTGATTTATCGAATACACGGAAAGTATTTATTTATCATCTCACTTGCGAACATCGGGGTTTGGGCGGAACTATACGATTATGTTGTTGTTCTTAAATAATAACTTTTTCGATGAATGTTTATTTTACTTTTGTGTATTAATTATGATATGTTGAGTTTTCGTTTATTTCAAATTCGAAATTGTCCGGAATACTCAAACAGGTGTAATAAGTGTAATATTGATAGTATAGTGTAATCGAGTAACCAACTTAGAAGTCTTTAGAGATGTCTAATGAACTTGATGTGTTACGGGTGTCGTAACCCCCGTTTTTTTTAATTAAATTTGATTGTTCTACCTTCCGCTTATAAAACAACATCGTTATACAGTCATCTAAGGTAACTCTCGCGACCAAATCTTTTTGTTCTGTATGGCATCACCTTAGCGCCATTTATTACCGACTGAATTTTAATTGTGTTTTATGATAAGTTATTTTCTGTTAGTTGGCGCTGATAACGTCGCTAATTTCTGTATAAACATGGAAAATTTTAAATATGTTTCTTACGTCTCTGCTATAATTGACAAGCGATAGCAAGATTCAGCAGCAAATGATAAGCAAAGCTATTCTATAATCATGGGTTGCTTAATAAAGATTTGCTAATTATGGCAGGATATAAAGAACATGGCCTGAAATATATTATTAACAGAACGATGTTTATTTTTCAGTCGACGAAAACCTTTAATAATAACGATTGCAGCAATCGCGAAAAAAATGAATACGGATTTTTGATTGCGATCAGATGACTGAGAGGACACATGAGCATAAAACGAATACCATGTTGCCGAAAAGCGGTTACGTGTTATCTTTCTTTAGCCATTTAAAATAGTGGTAATGGTATATACAAGAGGTTTCTAAACTTTACAAACTCGGAACGCAATTAATATTAAAATTACAAGTAATGGTGCATGGAAAAACGAATTTGATTTTATTGAAATTGAAACGCACACACATAAGAGTTTTACATTTCATGCACAACTAACCGATGCTACATGTGAGATTTGTGCACATGAACGATTATATATCGCGATTATTTATGTGAGAATGCGTACTTCTCTTTCAACTTTAATTTCCAGGATTTCGGCGTTCACGTGGTCGACTAAAAAAGATTTATCAAATGGATTGGTATTTCGCGTCACACTCAAAATTATTTGGGAACCACTATCATGTCATTCGTTTATTTTTTACATTCATGTTTTTTTCAAGAATCACCCTGTTGTATTTCCTGTACCTTCGCAAAGGAAAACTCTTTGGTGTCATCATTACTATTAGTGTAATTGAAAGTGGCGTTGAGATGCGAATATTTCATACTAGGTCTGCAGCATTAGAGAGAGCGTTATTTATAAATGCTGGAAGTACATGGCATTTCTAAAAAATTTGCAAATATATGATGTTTTCTACCCGATTTGAACTAACTGGCACGCAGACCAATGCAAGTCGATATTTGAAAATTACACGTCTTAGCGTAAGTAATCCGTGAGACAGTATAATATTGGCTAGCTCATGAAAAGGATTTCAAAGTGATCTTGCATAATATTTCGGAAAAAAAATCTTCGATAGAAAGTAGGTCACTCTATCTATAAAAACAGCGGTACTTTCATGGTGATTTTGCGTTATTTCCCAAAGAAAAACTGACCAGAGAAACATGACGTTAACCAATCTCTTAAAAGGGAAGAGGGCGGTATTGGTGATGCAAGTTTGCAAGGCTTGTCTGTTCAGGCGGGAGTGCGCTTCGTTACTGACGCTGGTGGTTGATTGCACGAAACCGACAAGTGTGCTTATCAGGTGTCCTTTGATGAATTCCCTTGTTTTTAACAAGGGTTTAAACGAAACTCCGTTAACGGAAAGACTTCAATTCACAATATTAACGGAAAGACTTCAATTCACAATATTAACGGGAGGAGCGCTTTTTCGAGTATCTATGCTGTTTGAAATGAGTTCAAACGAAAGCTAGGGCACCTAACTAGTTAAAATCAGAAAAAGCACTTTCGCACTTTTTTTTTCGACTGCGAAGCACTTTCGCACTCATAATTTCCTTAGAGTTAACACTGTATATATGTGTAAATAGTTTGTAGTGTAACTTACTATGACCATACCAATGCGCAACGTTTTTAAACATTCATTTAATGGCATATCTTTGTTTTGTTTTCTCTGTGTGTATACCGGAAACCGGTACTGTTTAACAATGTTTCCACGTCAATGTATCAATTAGGCTACAGACCTGCTCACGTGTGATTAGTGTTTTTCCTGATAATTACTTTTATGAATGTCCGCATACCGAATTTGCCGCCATGGTTTTGCGTTTGTTTGTATATTAAAATTAAACCACTTATCACCTTTTCCGCAATGCCCAATCTAGCAATCAGTATAGTTTTTCATGGCTTAGTTTTTCTTAAAGCTTTCATGGCTTCATAAGTATGACTATCGTCGCAAATTTATTACATTTCACTCCCAACATTATTTTTGCATGAGATTGTACGTATTGGGCATCATCAACGTAATTGTTAAAAGTACGACAGCCCGAAAGTTTAATACTATCGTGCATTTTGTTTGTTAAGTTTGGCCCAAGCCTCATTTAATTGGGCTTGTGTTTTTGTGTGCGTGCTGGTGGGCAGGCACATGAGATACTTCTCATGTTATAAAATTTTTTATAGGTTTTGCTTGCCCTCCAGAATTCTCTATTTTTAATTTATGCTTGTTATGGAGTTTTCGAAATAAACTATCTATCTATCTAAGAGACTGTTGGTAGTTGGCTTGACTTTTCAAAAAAAAATAACAAACTTATATAAATATGTTTTTGTTTCAGATCCAAAACCACCAGGAAAGAAGCCAAACCTTGCATTAATTGCGCTGCTTTTGTCCACACGCCGACAGCGACCTCCTATAATTTCTGTATCACCAGCAGTTCCCATTGTACCAGTAGTTCCAATTTATCCGGTATCCCCGATTTATCCAGTGTCTCCAATACTACCAGTGGTACCAGTTGGTTGCCCACCAAACCGATGTGTTTGTTCAAAGAACCTCGGTGCAATTTGTGAACCAAGTATAGGAGGTTGCGGCGCCACTATCCGTGATCAACACACTGGAGAACGCATCACGCAATATTGTAAGTATACTTGATTTTAGGAATGTACTGTTGATTGGAAATTTAGGATATTAATCGGCGACTGGTAATTGAAAAATGTCATTAATATGCAACGAAGTCAAATCAGTTAATTTGGAGCCTCGAGTCATTTCACATTAGATTAGAACATTTTCATGCGTTGGTTGTTTAGTATATAAATTGGTCATTGTTCACTATTTATTTATCGTATTGTACTGCGATCGTAAGTTGGAAGCTGATAATTGAAGAAATGGTCTCGTAGTGTCTGACAAAGACGCTGGGGATGGGGTAGTCGCGGTGCTGCTGTTGATACTCGTCATGCAACGACAGACGATATGCTGTCGTCCACAAACCAACAAACAAATATATTTTTAATCCTCTAAGCATCCGCCTTTTCTGGCATCAATAGTTAGTAGGGCAATAGTCCTTGCTAAATCAGTTCCTATAATTTCCATTACGTGACCTGAGACCCCGAAATAGAGTCGCAATCAGCAGATGGAGCAACATTTTAAACTACAGAATTCAACGTTTAAACAAGCTGAAACAATCATGCACAGACGCACTTATCACTTTTTTTGTGTTACAGGCAAATGCGATCCGGGTTATCAGATATACAGCCCTTGCTCTAAAGAAAAATGTTTCGACATAAATGGAAGACCATTAGTGTGCCCGGGTCATCCGAACGCTAGATGTCGTGTAACTCAGTGCGGAAGATGCCAGGCATATTGGATTGATATTTATACAGGAAAACAAGTTACATGCCAGAGAAGACAGCCCGTAAACTCAGGTAAAACTAAACAAGATTTTACAAGTAAATAGAAAACCATAAGCTGGACAATGGAAATCATAATCTGAGAATCATGAACGATTAGCTTAGAGGCCAACCCTCGGCTTCGGGAAACGAAATTTGAAAATTAGAAACTTCTAAGCATCCTTCGTTTCGGTTGTAATCGGTTTGAAGAGTGAAATTACAACTACGCACGCGCTGGTCAATAGCATTGCTAGTGTTTCACATTTTTCGTGGAAGAGCAACTTACAAAATGATGAAAATAAAGAACTTTAGAATAGTAGTAAACATGAGGTTACCCGCGCATAAGCGGCTCCACGTAATTTCTGAACTCCGAAGATGATCAATTAATAAGTAGCATTGGCAATGCTTGTTTATTAAACGTTTATGAATATGATAACATTATTCATGACGTGTGAAGCTGTGATGTTAGTTGTTTTCAAATAGTATATTTCCTAATTTATCTTTTGATTTATTTTAGGTGCAGCATGTGGTCCTGGAGAGATTCCGATTCTTAGATGTCCAGATATATGTCGACATACTAAGTGCCCGAATTATCCGTCTGCAACTTGTACAGTTCGCGTTTGTAATGGGTGCACGGCAAGATACACCGACCAGGGAATAGATGTCACGGCAGGTTGTCACCAAGTCGTGGGATAAGAATGGCTGGAAAACACTCACGCTGGACGCTATGACTGGAAAACACTTTCAAACGACAACAAAAAACTCTTTTCAGCTAATAACTCTGCGGTTTATTTAAAAACACAATAAAACCTAAACCCGGCAACTGAGATATGTTCATTTTTTCCTGGGAAATTCAGTTTAAATTTGGAATATGCAACTCCGGGCCAAATCACTCAGACGACTACCCATAAGACCCTAAGACTTCAGTGTGTGTTTTTAAAAACTTCTGATTGTGTTCTTTTCTTTGAGATGGAGCTAAAGAGCAAATCGAGATCAATAAATTACTCGTGCGAGATGAATTCAAAAAATGTGGAATCGCGCCGTTTCTTTTTATCCTTTTGTAGTTTTAAGCCATATACAAAAAAGGTTGGGCTAACCGTAAACCCCTAACACTTCTCGCAATAATTCACTCGTGTGCGGTCTGATGCAAAAAATCGTTAAACATTTCCTGTCTTATGAATGTATATTTAGTAAAGGGTCAACATTGTAATATATATTGGTGATAGATTTAGTATTTCATATATCTTACGAGTACGTAATATTTTAATAAATGCTTGTATTTTTTATCAGAAGAGTTGGTTTTGTGTATTTTTGTTCAATATCTTCTGTTCCTGATTACACATCGCAGGCTTATCTATTGTTCTTTTATTGTAGAAAGAATATTTCAATAAACACATTGATTGGTGAAGTTTTGCTATTAGCTGTTTGGGCGAGATTCGACGTTCCCATCGACAGACGTTACAGAATCAAGTTTTAATAGGCGTGGTACTATAATTCAACCAATTCTATACTTAAATTAATAAAGGCGTTTCTGCTTCTCTGTTGGCCAAGTCTGGGCAAGAACATAGAATACCCCATGTGGAAAGTGAGCATTTGTACCCTACCGACCGTTCTATGTTGAATGAGTCTAAATAGGACAGGTTGTATATTGCTATATCAAAAAGCGTTTCCGGTTGATCTGGGAGAAAAGCTAAAACGCTTTATGAAAAAGTGCGACACTTGATCCACCTATGTACTAAAAATGTCTCTTTATGTGTGGCGCTATACTATATCCATAGCTATGTTTGAGTGAAGAAGTCTATTTCTGCTTGTCATTTGTCTCGTTATTATCGAAAATGTATAACGCCTTATGTAAAAGTGTGGTACCATAAGTTGCCAAACGCTAGATTTGAGATAAGAGGTTTCTCACACCCATCGCTATATTCGTTAGAGTAATATACCCGGTTTTGCTTGTGAAGGGCCTTGCTGTGAGCGAAAAGATATAGCCACTAATGAAAAAGCTGACAGCCATCAATAAAAAAAACATTCCAACAAAAGTACGCCCTGATGACGTTTTGATGAACAATTGTCGATTACTCTCAATTTTCTTGCTAGCGATTTCAATTTATTTGAGCTCTGCGTAATAATCCCGAGAAGAGAGATGGGAATTTGATTCGACATTGAAGACAATCAATTATACTCTTTAAAGCTCTTTGACGTGTATGTGCCTCTGTAGTGACGTATATTTTGGATGACGTAATCAGGTGGGGGTGATGAATGAAATGTGCAAAAATGCCACGTCAGCTAGATGTGGCCGTGGATGTGTTGCTCTGCTACAGTAGCACAACAATCTTACATGCGGAATTTTTATACGTTTTCTCAGCGACATGTATGAAGTAAAATGGCAGCATTGTTACTATCTCACTAGGCTCTTACTATTCTGGCAAATCACGCTTTATTAATTTTTAAACTGAAACGAGTAGGATACATACCTAAAATGGTACCGGTAGGAAATTATCAATGGGTACCTGCTTTCAATTTGTTCTTGCAACTTGACCAGAATATGATTCCACCAAGTAGTAGCGATTCCTTATTAATCCATCCAGATACTGACATAATGTATAAATCCATAAAACACTCAAATACCATACACCTCGGAATTCACCCTGACCCGTCTCAGATTAAACACTGTAACTGTGAGCTGAAAGTAATATTTTTCCGTTGCCAGATATTTATTGAGTAAATAATGATCGATAATAAACTGCTGATAGAATACAGGCATGGGGAGAGTGATTGTTATTAATACAAGTATACTTTTATGCACAAATATTATGTTTATTTAATTTTCAGTATTTGAAGATGAAAAATGATGCTAATTTTCGGTTTCTAAGATTTCCTTCGATTTCTATGAGACCCGTTGCTTTTATCATTTTTTAATTATTATTTGTTTACTTTCATCGAATATTTTGTCGTATATTATGCTGATTATGAAATCGGAAAAACTTATAATTACGAGATGTAGCAAAAATTCGGAAGAAAATTGAAATGAGCATTTGCCACAGTAAGAAACAGACAGAAAAAATATATTTTCCCTCGCACATAGCGTGAGTGATCGAAGTCTCGTACTACTATTACGGGTATTAGCACAGTGAGAGCGGGCAAATCAGCATCGAATAAGGGCAGCATCATAATATATGGAAACATTAAAATATGTGGTGTTTAATTAATAAACATAAATAAAACCCATCACAAGTAAGCGTGACCAGTTCCACTACTCGAATGGTTTCCTACAAGAAAGTCCGCAAAGCAACGGTTTGAAGATGACGCTGTAACTCTTGACGTCTAGCGGTAACTCAAATACACAAAAAACACAACACAAATACGGAAATTTCTGGTTTGTGACACATACACCGACTGAATTGTTTTATTTTTTCTGTTAATTGCTATTGTGAGATGTAATACCTGTACAACAGTTGTCTCATTTGTCACACACAATCTTATTGCCAATGTTTGCAGATTAAGGAATTATGTCATGAATGCTTCCATCTCTTCCTCTGTCTATGAGTATCACTTACATGCTAAATTGCTAACACATCCTTTTTACATTTATTTATTCTTTTCGTAGTGAGAGGTGTGAAAACATCTTATAAATTTACTTAAGATTAAAAAATAATCAACTCGTAAAACGAATGGGCGCAAGGCCTTGGCAAAAACTTTAACCGAGGAGCGCGGGCTCCGTACACATAGGCCAATACTCCAGAACAACAGCACCATTTGTTTATTTCTATGTTTTACAAAATTTTCCATGATCAGTGAGAGGTGTGAAAACATCTTATAAATTTACTTAAGATTAAAAAATAATCAACTCGTAAAACGAATGGGCGCAAGGCCTTGGCAAAAACTTTAACCGAGGAGCGCGGGCTCCGTACACATAGGCCAATACTCCAGAACAACAGCACCATTTGTTTATTTCTATGTTTTACAAAATTTTCCATGATCAGTCAATCGTAGGTGCGTGCATATTCGTGGCTTCCTGAAGTTATTATATCATAATTAAATAGCAATGGTGGTGGGTCCATATCAATAGTACATAAATATGGTTGTTTTGTCACACAACATAATACCAAAATGAACAAACACGGATACAATAAATACACTGGCAACTGACAGGAAGTTGCATGACATAGAATCTATGTCATAGATGAAAATTGTAAATAAAAATCTTACTTCCCGTTCTGTCGTCAAGCAGTGATTTGGACTTGAAAACAAGCTAGTAGTCGCTGATTAGCTATAATCAGGGGCGTAGCAAGGAATCTCCAGGGAGGGGAGGGAGGGGTATAAATATTTGCCAAGTTAGACCTTAATAACTAGAGGGTCCGGAAACGTGTTTCACGAGTTTTGAAAGTCTAAAAGGGTTTCAAGTTACAAAAAATGCTATGTATGACACAGAAAAAAAAATTTATACTATAAAAAAAAATGGGGCGACGCACAAATCCACTCTTTTAGCTAAGCATTCATAGGTACGCACTCTCTACAAAACAACTAATCAGCCAGTAACCCATAGCACCTTGCAACATGCGCTCCGCTGCTATTACCCACAAAGCAACAATAACAAATCATTCTATGAGCCGGTCCATAGCGCCTACTAGCGGAAAGAAGTAGGATACAACATATGTCCGTTCAGTGTTTGGTATCTGATAATTTTTCGAAGTTTTTGCTTGACGTAACGGCAACGAACGTTCGTCGTATCTCATTCAAAATGACGCTGTTAATTCACGAAAGTCGGTGAGAAAACGTGCCAGGTTACAGAAAAAAAGCGAACATAGCTATACATTTGTTTCTGTACCGCGGATCTCCGATAGAAAACGCTGGGATTCAGAGATTAATTTAAAAATGATTTAATGTAAATACAAGTATTACAAATAAGGCCTGACAAACATGTAAAATCAATCACACTCGGGGAAAAGTGGCATAAACGAACAATCGTCGGGCATAGTAGAAAAAGTGATCAGCAGAGATTATTAGATGTTTCGTAATTTGGCCCAGATAACTTCTTGTTTGTTGGACAAACCATCCAGTTCCAGCCTGTTTGAGAGAATTTTCGTAATTTCAATAATATAAATAAATGTTAAATTTTGTGGAACTATTTTTTAAAATTACTCGGTCTCCAAATATCTTTGCCTGAAAGCTTGATGTAAATTCGAAAACGGACCTATTTTCAGCAATATTTCAATGGAATGTGAATGACAGGTTTCCAACGGGTAAAGATACGCAAAAGTAGTTTATACTATTCGAATCTTATTCTTCCGTCAATACCTTGACGATGCTTCGTTACCGCCGCTATGATGGTACTCCGAAAATTGATAACAAAATTTTAGTACCTATGTGTATCGTTTTTTGCCAATGATGTTTTCTACATATGTGTTACAAATTATAAACACTATGTATCTTTATTTTAAAATGCCGAAACTTACGACGATACATTTCTTCAATTCTAGTTTGTAAAAACGGCTGTCATTTTCCGTTTCGTGTATACGCATCTTGAATTGTTCTAAACTTATTATATTGTGTTTGTTTACTTTACCGTGTGCTTCCACTGGTTTTGGTGGTCGGACGACTACTCTTTTGTACGTTTTTATCCAAACTAATCCACATTTATCAGCTTTTTAGACAACTCTACCCTTTTTTCTGTATTTCTCACCAGTGTGTTTCACAGAAGAGATTACTAAGTTTCGGAAGATTAAACCATAACTTTACATCTAAACAACCTATCTAATATTATTATAAGTTTCAAATCAGATTCCGGACATTCTTTGCCTTCACCTGACACTACGAATTAGAATAAATATTTACGAAAGAGCACAACACCCGGCGACCGTTGCTAGCGCTAACCGAGCTTGATCTAGTGATATTAACATGGTACAGCGTAGGTCGTAATTAATCGGCTATTTATATCTGGAAGCCGATCTTGACTTTCTCATTATCATTAAGCAAGAATTTAATTTTTTACACATACCAACTAAAATAACGTTCTGATACGTCAATTCGGTTCTTTCACTTTGCATATAAATACGTTATTTTTAAATTAAATTTCTGCATAATTAGCTTATGCCGACGTTATAGGTGAACAACTGTAGTACAAAATGTTCAAATCGCACTCATATTCTCAATTCTGCCTGGAGAAATGAAGCCTGCTGATTGACAAAGTAGCTAAGTTCATAAGAATCCGATGACAAGAGGATATTCATAGACGCGTGAACACTTTACAGAGAATGGAAGTTGCCTACTTCGTGTGAGGTTTGTCGTGGAATGTGTACATCACATATTTACGAGATATTTTAGTTAGTTCATTTTGCCGTTTATGTTGGTTTAGTTCCAACGTAATATTTTAGTTTGGTTTTGAGATCAATGTGATATCGAGAATGTCCGGGCTAATATGTGTCCGCCACAATATTATTTATATGTATTTCCATTGTTTCTATGTTTATGTCAAGGGCCTGTATTATTGATTTGAAAGTATCTCGTCGTCACAAATAAACGTGCAATATTACAAAGTCACTATGTACAAGATGACATCCCCCATACATTTATGTCTCATGTTTTAAACCGAATTTGAAGTTTTTACAACGTTTCTCCTGTGTGATTGTCTTGTGTATTTGAATTATTTTGCACCATGTCGTAGTTCGAAATATATCAGCCACCTGCTGAGTTCGCCCAGCAATTATAATGGTCCGAGCAAAGTAGCGTATCTTTCATTATTGTGAGTAAAACAAGTTAAATTCTTGCTTAATGATAATCAGAAAGTCGCGATCGACTTCCAGATATAAATGCTCGTGACCTAAGGCTATACCGCGTTGATTGCAACTGATCAAGCATGGTTGGCACTTACAAGTATGACCTGCTATGAATAAGACTTACCGCCCTTTCTTTTATATTTTGCATAGTTCGCGTAATCAGATAAAGGCGGGGAAACTTAAATAAGAGTAGATAGGTTGTTTAGACGTAAAGTTATGGTTACATCTTCCAAACTCAGCAATCTCTCCTGTGAAACACACGGTTGTGCAGTGGTTCTCAATCTTTTAATACACGCCTCGATTTTAGAATTTGTCAAGTCTCGCGCCCCACTCCAAAAGTTATTAGTTAGCAATAAGCTACAAATAACAGATAGAAATGGCGAAAGTATGTTTTGTATCCAAGTATACGTGGATGCAACGCAAATATCCAAAATTGAATAAATAGAAATGTAAATATTCAAAATAAAGCAGGAAAGATCAAATCTATCAAATATTTTTAATTTTAAATAGATTCACGCCCACTCAAAAGTAGTCTACGCCCCAACGTTGGAGAACCACTGCTGTAGTGTGGAATACAAAAAAAATGCGGAGTTGCCTGGAAGGCGACGATAAATATTTATTAGATAGATATTATTTATTAGTGACATGAGAGCAGCTTCGTCAAACCCAGCCAAGATGGACAAATATTTCTGCTTTGCAATCCAATTCTCGTTTGCTCTTGCTGGAAATGGACAATTATCTGGCACGGGTTTGTGTTTTTTAATATCACAACTTTTTTAGTTATCAATTTAGTAATTGGTTTATGTTGACCTAACACATGGTCAGATATGCTATACAGGGGTTACAGGTTGCGAACAAGTGCGTATGTTAAACGTTATGAGAGAGAGGTTTCAACATTCGATGAGAGGCTGTTGTTGCAAACTCTAAGTTTTCGTGGCTTACGTCTGCGCGAGTTAATGTTGGCCTAACAAATTATTAGATATGCTAAATAGAGGTTACAGATTGCGAACTAGTGCGTATGGTAAAAGTTTTTCTGAGTGCAACTGAAGACGTAAACAGTTCCAATAGTTTTATTTTTTTTTTCCTATGCTTTTCCTTTGGTGCCGGAAAGTCCAGTTATTTTTTCGCCTTTGATCAAACTAAGAGCAAAGTGCTGGTTATCATCGTACTGGAGAATTATCGCTGGGATCGTGTTATTCGACCGAATAAACCGACCGTATTTTTAATCTTAGGAGACACATGCATCACGGGAAACGATTGCAATGCAATGAATGAAATTTGCTTTGACCTAAAAGAATCCAATTGTCATTGTCCAATTGGATTCAAAGGAGTCGACTGCAAAGAACGTAAGTGGAAGTAAATATTGTAGAAGTTACTCAAATATGCATATCCATGCGTAATTTAATATAAGAAGCATTAAATACTCACGTTATATTAAAAATAGACGGGTATTGTTTTTGCTACTTTGAGTTAAACCATTGTTTTTGCTACTTTGAGTTAAACCTTGTATTCAATAACGATTCGATGATACAGACCACACGGAGAAATGTAATGATTATCGTCGTGAAATTATCACCTTCGTTCCAACATAATGTACACAATTTACTATCAAATCAATTATGGCAGGACGCCATTTATAATAAAAACAAGCCAAATATGGGATCGTAAATGTTTTTCAAAACAAATAGAAAATTCATTTCTCTAAACGACTTTGAATCACAGCTGAAGTCATATTTTAGTACAACTAAAACTCGATAGAAATTTTGATAGAAGCAAGAGCTCGATGATAGAGATTTAAAAATGAACCTTGTATTGGAAAAAATCCCAACTTACATTCCATTTACAACTTTCAGCTAACACTCCTTACATCGACGAAAAATGCGAACTACCAGAATCATTACCATCAGTATGTGAGGAAGCATTAAACTTATGCGGACCAAGTTGTCCTCCGGGACATATATGCTGTTCAGTAGGATGCGCAGCAACTTGCAAATCTCGTGACGGTAAGAATTGCTTTCGTCTATACATCTTCACCCTCACATAGCAAGATAATATCACAAAGAGCCAAATCGCTAAGCGCACCCATGTCCACGAACCTAACTCGTTTTGTAATAAACTTTCCAGACTGTGTCGATGAGCTTTTAGACTTTCTAAACACGGTATTTCCGTGTTATACGGTATAAGCTTTGGCTCACATAAAAAATGTAAAAACACTGTAAATAAATGACAAATATAGTGACCCCGCCAGGATTTAAAATCAGAAATTCCTGTGTAACTACTTTTGCAACAGTTGTCACGATTACGCCACTCGTTAAACGAGCAGAGTTTTTTAGCGGATAATGCTTTTTGTGTTACGTGAAAATTTATTCTTTGTCTATAGGAGCATTCAAAATGTCTTGCCATGTTGATTTAATTGCGTGGAACGAAACTCGCCGTTGCGTCGACTCACGGCAAAATCAAAGCATCATTACTTTAAGATACCTCGTAAACTGACCAATTGTATATAGACTTGATCTGTATTTTCGCAATCTTGCGAATTCGTCAAATTTGAGCTAATCTTGCAAGACTGACTGTAACAATTTTGACCCGGAAATCCCTGCTGGCCGCGCTACTGAATATATATACAAACATGATGATTTGTAAATTTTGATAATACATACAAATTAGAAAATACATACAAAGATAACATGTATTTATCGTCAATATTCTACTTGCTTATGGTAATCTTCAAAACAACCTTCGCCAATTGATACGCAGATGCACCGCGACGCTTCACTTAGTTTTGGTAAAAAAAACAGCTGTTTTGTCGAATATACTCTTTACGTAACAGAATGTATTGTGAGACACGTGTAGACTAAATTATATATATTATAACCTAACAAATATATAATTCATAATTACTCGTTTAATGAGCCTATAAGTTAAATATAGTAAGACAAATGGCAACAAAACGCAGAAAGGTTTATGTTAAGTGCAAAGAGTTCACTTGCGCAGAAAATATTCAAATGGCAAAAAGTAGGCTACCTTCTTCGTAGAAAACTCTATCCAAATTTGACAAACCATGCGAAAAAAATTCACATCGATGTTTGAAGTACATATGCATGCGAACAATTTATTTCGAAAATGAACATTAAAAAAAACAAGCTGAGAACTCGGATTGATTAGTGATATCCGTTTATGAAATGTTTTAGACTTGGCTTCATCCAGTGTCCCATTTAGAAAAGCGTGATGCAACTATAAGTTAATAAATATAGTTAGACAAAAGGCAACAAAACGCAGAAAGGTTTATGTTAAGTGCAAAGAGTTCACTTGCAAAGAAAATATTCAAATGGCAAAAAGTAGGCTACTTTCTTCGTAGAAAACTCTATCCAAATTTGACAAACCATGCGAAAAAAATTCACATCGATGTTTTGAAGTACATATGCATGCGAACAATTTATTTCGAAAATGAACATTAGAAAGAACAAGCTGAGAACTCGGATTGATTAGTGATATCCGTTTATGAAATGTTTTAGACTTCGCTTCATCCAGTGTACCATTTAGAAAAGCGTGATACAACAAAAAGTATCACAGTGAATGCCATTTGTAGATTTTAATTTTCAAGTAAGACGACCAAGTTGAGTTCACGAGTTGGCGCACTCTTAGCGCACTGCCCAAAATTTAACTTCTGACCTGTGTGAAAAAATGTGATTCATCGCCCATCCGTTCGGTTTTATAAAAAAATATGCGCGACCGGCCAATGACTCGCAACCCTTAATTTTGGCCAGCGAGCGATAAAAAGTTGCCGACCCCTGGATTAAACGGTTGATGTTACTCTGGGTTTGAGAACATCAAGACCTATTGCACCTTTATAATGTTTATTTTTCAAATTGACTCAATTTTCAGATTCGTCAGTGAGTAAAGATATAGATTTTTTAGAATAATATTCTCTTCACTGACTACTCCTATATGTAAGCATTTCGTGTCGGAGATATATCGGTCCTCTTTAACACAGGTTTGTAGGGTTTAGTATCCGCGTTCAACGTCGATAGATTTAATCTATGCTGTCTACTTTTTATTGACTGTTACGCCTAACAAGATATTTATCGACTGATATCCCACGCCATCAAATTTCATCTTGGAACCCATTTTCTGAAAAAGGTTTTACGGTGCACCGTCAAATGTTTGGTCTGATAGTTTTGTTATGACAGTAATTTGTGGATCACTTATACGTTATAACAAATTAAATTAAGATTTAAAATAAATTTTTTGCAAAAATTGCCAGGTTGAATGCCTGTAAAAAGGTTGAAGCTAATTTTAAAATTCAGATATGTTATTGAGGTGTGCGCAATTTTAATTAGCTGAAATTGGTAGATTGTAGAAAAAATCGTGTTGAGAGGTAAAAGTTATAAACGCCCCGAGCAAATGGTAATTAGCCAAGTCTAGAAAAAGCCGTCGATGTCTGGGATTATTCGATTTTATTGGAATTAATTCTAAATGCGCCAAGCATCACAATAAATATTCGGTGATAATCTGAATGAAAAAATTTGACACCGAGTGGCACAACAATTCTGAATAATATTAAACATGTCCACAGCTAATCTCTCTGTACTTTCACAATGAGATAGCGGTTCGAGCGACGAGGACATGCATTCGCGATCGCTATCTCGTAATGTTTTCAATGCTTAATAATGTTAAGTCTAATTAATATGAACGGTGCGAGATCCCATCCCCAGAAAACATGAATATAAAAGCAAGATTTGTTTGTTTGATTCAGCGGAAAAAGATCAATTTGATTTTGTATCAGTAATTAATCTATACTATCGTAAAGTAACCCGCACTTACACTGACTGACACTATTTTTACTTCACCGAATCATGCCATCTATTAATCTTTAATTTTGTCCAATTCTGGTTGAAAAAATTCGTTCGAATTTTAGTTTTCATGAATGGTTCCAAGCTTTCTGACCTTGGCAAGCAACCAGGGGTTTATTAAAGTATTTTTTTTTGTCACTATCCATTTATTCCTGTAACGATATCGGGGTATTTGACTGTATTAATATTTAGGCACAAATAACTGCACATAATAGCCTTGGCCACATATTACGTTGTTTCATTGATGTTGTGGAGTGTCAATTCCTTTTTATTATTAATTCTTAGAATGCACAACAACCGAAGATTGCCCGGAAAATAGAATGTGCATTGACAGTCCATTTAAACCCAATGTTTGCGATTGCCCATTTGGATATACAGGAGATGATTGTACGGAACGTGAGTATTCTATGTTTTGTTTGCATTTCTTAGAATTTCGAACTGACCTAGTCTAGTAATGTGAGAATGAGTGAAACAAAAATATATTGTTCAACAGAACAAGATGGCATCGACGACAGATGCCCTTATCCCGATGATCTGATTGATGTTTGCGTGACTTCCCAAATAAACTTCCAATGTGATAAGGATAACACATGTCCGGACGGAGAAACATGTTGCCACGGACCAGATGGATGTTCAACCCGTTGTTTTAAATTAGGTCAGTCCTAGATAATAGTGCTTTTGTCGGTCATTGCTATACGCAAGAGCAATTGCTTATGTTATGAGTTTAAACGGTTGGGAACCACTGGTCTACATGATAGTTACAACTCGTTTAACCGATAGAAAGTCATTTTATGTAGTAAGTAACCTTAGCGGTTAGGTAAACCAATATGGATAATGAATCCCAATAGTTATGGCCTCTTCTGTACAGGGCATACTGGTATACCCTATTTAATAGGTTTTATTTAATACACACAATTCACCAGGTTAAAAGATATATTTCTTTTATTTAATATCTCAAGTTTAGATTGAAAACATAGCCACAGAGTCGCATTGATTAATTGGATATATTGAAAAGTTCATGAAAACATGCCGAAATCAGAAGCAGCTCGGATTCATTGGTCAAATGTAATGGGAGAGTCATAATACGATAAGAACGGCATTTAAAATGAAAAATAAATTATTACTATGGCTTCAATAGTATAAACATACATATTAGTGAGTGACTGCTATTTCAGGGTTTCGTTATACTCTAATCTAATTTATTAAATCACAAACATAGCTAATATCTTAAATGCCACATTCATTTTTTGAAATGAATTATTATTTATCTCAACTGTCGATGTCTGAGATTTGATTTTACGGAATTAATTTTAAACGATCCAACAATTACCATAAAGATCCCGTAACAAGTTGTACTCGATAATCTCATGAAAATGAAAACCATTTGACACGAAATTATTTAAAACGACTATGAATATAAATAGGAACGACCGAAGCTACATATTGAAAATATGAGCTATTGTACATTAAATTTGATGCGCAATAATTGTGCCATGTCTTACTGTTTGTGACAAACTTGTGCCTCGTTCCGTTTTGAAGACAAAATTTTGTTTCGATTTCGCCAGCGCTAGTTACTAAATACTCTCGTAACCTACACTTATACTGACAGACACTATTGTCACTTAATAGATAATTATCCGAATAGCCATCGATTAAACGTTAATTTTGTCCAATTTTGGTATAGAGAAAAAATCTTTGAAATTTAAGTTTTTACGGATGGTTCCAGACGTACTGTCATCGGCAAAAAATCACATTTTTATTATTGTATTTTGTTTGTCATCATCAATTTATTCCTGTGACGTTATCGAGGTATTTGATTGTTTTAATTGTAAAGCACGTAGGTGACGCTGCTCGATAACCATTACTGGTTTATCGCGTCTTCCTTCACACTAAAATGCATTTTTTTCTTTTTTTACTTAATCCTATTCGTATAATGTGTATTTTCGGCATGTGTAAAAATAAACTACTGATAATAGCTCAGGCTGCATATTACGTTGTTTTATTAATGTTGTGATCTGTCACTTCGTTTCCATTATTAATTATTAGGCTGCAAAACAACCGCGGAATGTCCGGGAAATAAAATATGCCTTCAACCACAATCACGACCCAATGTTTGTGATTGTCCATTTGGATTTGAAGGAGAAGATTGTATGGAACGTGAGTATTCGATGTTTTGTTTGCATTTTCCAGAATATCGACCTGACCTAGTATATATAGTGATGTGAGAATGAGTGAGACAAAAATATATTGTTCAACAGGACAAGATGGCATCGACGTCAGATGCCCTTATCCCGATGATCTGATTGACCTTTGCGTGACTTCCCAAGTCGACGTCCATTGTTCTGAAGGTAACCAGTGTCCGGATGGAGAAATATGTTGCCTAGGGGCAAATGGATGTTCAACCAACTGTATTCCAATAGGTCAGTACTATGGAATAGGATTTACATATTTATCCCGGGGAAAGGAAAGCCGATAAGACGGCTTAATCATATGGTGAACCACGGCTACTCGTCCGGTTACCTGTCCAGGTCGGGTATGGCATTAGTTAACCAGCTATTTGTTTTCGGAAGCATGGACTTGATGGTGGAGAAAGCCGTAACCGACCAGCGGTTACGTGAACCACCATACGGCAGCGAGGAGTCCAGCAACCCTCTCGCACATGATTATCCCCGCATGGGATTCGAACCTGCGATCCCACGAAGGGTAATCAGAAATGCGGGGGCGAGCGTATTCCCAACGCTTAGCACGATGCGCCACACCGCCGAGCCATAACAGGAGTATTTGTGTGTGTTATGATTTTAAAACCGTTCGAAAGTTATATTATGTAGTAGACTAGCGATTACTTTGTTTAAACTATTATGGATAATGGATTTGGTCTCGATATTTATTCAAATAGTCTCTGCTATAGAGGTCATATTAGTATTATACCCTATTGCCTATTTGATAAGTTTGATTTTTAATGCACACAATTCGCCGGCTTAGGGTATATATTTCTTTCATTTTATATCTCAAGTTTAGTATGAGGCTTCAATATTATGAACGTAAAGTACAGTGCGTGACTGCTAATTCAGGGTTTTGGTATATTTTAATTTGTTTATTTACAAACTCACCAAATATCTCCGATGTCACATTTATTTTTCACAGTGAATTAATACTTAGCTCAACTATCGATGTCTGAGATTTGATTTTATCGGAATTAAATTTAAACGCTCCAGCAATTACCATAAAGATCCCGTAACAAGTTGTACTCGATAATCTCATGAAAGTGAAAATCATTTGACACGAAATTGTTTAAAACGACTACGAATATAAATAAAAACGACCGAAGCTACATATTGAAAATATGAGCTATTGTACATTAAATTTGTTGCCAAATAATTGTGCCATGTCTTACTGTTTGTGACAAACTTGTGCTTCGTTCCGTTTTGAAGACAAAATTTTGCTTCGATTTCGCCAACCCTAGTCACTTAATACCCTCCTAACCCGCACTTACCGTATACTGACAGACACTATTGTCACTTAATAGATAATTATCCGAATAGCCATCGATTAAACGTTAATATTGTCCAATTTTGATAGAGAAAAATTCTTTGAAATTTAAGTTTTAACTGATGGTTCCAGACGTTCTGCCATCGGCTAGAAACCACATTTTTATTATTGTATTTTGTTTGTTATCATCAATTTATTCCTGTGACGTTATCAAGGTATTTGATTGTTTTAATTGTAAAGCACAATAATAGCTCAGGCTGTATATTACGTTGTTTTATCAGTGTTGTGATCTGTCACTTCGTTTCCATTATTAATTCTTAGAATGCAAAACAACCGCGGAATGTCCGGGAAATAGAATATGCTTTCAACCACAATCAAGACCCAATTTTTGTGCTTGTCCACTTGGATTTGAAGGAGAAGATTGTATGGAACGTGAGTATTCGATGTTTTGTTTGCATTTCCCAGAATATCGACCTGACCTAGTATAGTGATGTGAGAATGAGTGAGACAAAAATATATTGTTCAACAGAACAAGATGGCATCGACGTCAGATGCCCTTTTCCCGATGATCTGATTGACCTTTGCGTGACTTCCCAAGTCGACGTCCAATGTTCTGAAGGTAACCCGTGTCCGGATGGAGAAATATGTTGCATAGGAGCAAATGGATGTTCAACCAACTGTATTCCAATAGGTCAGTAGGATTAACATATTTATCCCGAGGAGAGGGAAGCCGATAAGACGGCTTAATCATATGGCGAACCACGGCCTCTCGTCCGGTTACCTGTCCAGGTCGGGTATGGGATTAGTTAGCCAGTTATTTGTTTTCGGAAGCATGGACTTGATGGTGGAGAAAGCCGTAACCGACCAGCGGTTACGTGAACCACCATACGGCAGCGAGGAGTCCAGCAACCCTCTCGCACATTATTATCCCTGCATGGGATTCGAACCTGCGATCCCACGAAGGGTGATCAGAAATGCGGTGGTGAGCGTATTCCTAACGCTTAGCACGATGCGCCACACCGCCGAGCCATAACAGGAGTATTTGTGTGTGTTATGATTTTAAAACCTTTCGAAAGTTATATTATGTAGTAGACTAGCGATTACTTTGTTTAAACTATTGTGAATAATGGATTTGGTCTCGATATTTATTCAAATAGCCTCTGCTATAGAGGTCATATTAGTATTATACCCTATTGCCTATTTGATAAGTTTGATTTTTAATGCACACAATTCGCCGGGTTAGGGTATATATTTCTTTCATTTTATATCTCAAGTTTAGTATGAGGCTTCAATAGTATGAACGTAAAGTACAGTGCGTGACTGCTAATTCAGTGTTTTGGTATATTTTAAATTGTTTATTCACAAACCTACCAAATATCTCCGATGTCACATTTATTTTTCACAGTGAATTAATACTTAGCTCAACTATCGATGTCTGAGATTTGATTTTATCGGAATTAATTTTAAACGCTCCAACAATTACCATAAAGATCCCGTAACAAGTTGTACTCGATAATCTCATGAAAGTGAAAATCCTTTGACACGAAATTGTTTAAAACGACTACGAATATAAATAAAAACGACCGAAGCTACATATTGAAAATATGAGCTATTGTACATTAAATTTGTTGCGCAATAATTGTGCCATGTCTTACTGTTTGTGACAAACTTGTGCCTCGTTCCGTTTTGAAGACAAAATTTTGTTTCGATTTCGCCAGGCCTAGTTACTAAATACTCTCCTAACCCGCACTTACCGTATACTGACAGACACTATTGTCACTTAATAGATAATTATCCGAATAGCCATCGATTAAACGTTAATTTTGTCCAATTTTAATAGAGAAAAATTCTTTGAAATTTAAGTTTTTACGGATGGTTCCAGACGTTCAGCCATCGGCTAGAAATCACATTTTATTATTGTATTTTGTTTGTCATCATCAATTTTTTCCTGTGACGTTATTAAGGTATTTGATTGTTTTAATTGTAAAGCACAATAATAGCTCAGGCTGTATATTACATTTTTTATTAATGTTGTGATCTGTCACTTCGTTTCCATTATTAATTCTTAGAATGCAAAACAACCGCGGAATGTCCGAAAAATAAAATATGCTTTCAACCACAATCAAGACCCAATGTTTGTGATTGTCCATTTGGATTTGAAGGAGGAGATTGTATGAAACGTGAGTATTCGAAGTTTTGTTTGCATTTCCCAGAATATCGACCTGACCTAGTATAGTGATGTGAGAATGAGTGAGACAAAAATATATTGTTCAACAGGACAAGATGGCATCGACGACAGATGCCCTTATCCCGATGATCTGATTGACCTTTGCGTGGCTTCCCAAGTCGACCCCCAATGTTCTGAAGGTAACCCATGTCCGGATGGAGAAATATGTTGCCTAGGAGCAAATGGATGTTCAACCAACTGTGTTCCAATAGGTCAGTGTTATATATAATAATATCTTTGTCGATCACTACAATAGGATAGGATTCACATATTTATCCCGGGAGAGGAAAGCCGATAAGACGGCTAATTCATATGGCGAACCACGGCCTCTCGTCCGGTTACCTGTCCAGGTCGGGTATGGCATTAGTTAACCAGTTCTTTGTTTTCGCAAGCACGGACTTGATGGTGGAGGAAGACGTTACCGACCAGCGGTTACATGAACCACCCTACGGCAGCGAGGAGTCCAGCAACCCTCTCGCACATGATCATCCTCGCATGGGATTCGAACCTGCGATCCCACAAAGGGTAATCAGAGATGCGGTGGCGAGCCTATTTATTCCTAACGCTTATCACGATGCGCCACACCGCCGAGCCATAACAGGAGTATTTGTGTGTGTTATGATTTTAAAACCGATCGAAAGTCATTTTATGTGGTAGACTAGCGATTACTTTGTTTAAACTATTATGGATAATGGATTTGGTCTCGATAGTTATTTGAAATAGCCTCTGCTGTAGTGGTCATATTAGTATTTTGCCCATATTATAAGTTTGATTTTTAATGCACACAATTCGCTGGATTAGGGTATAAATTTCTTTCATTTTATATCTCAAGTTTGGTATGAGGCTTCAATAGTATGAACGTGAAGTACAGTGCGTGACTGCTAATTCAGGGTTTTGTTATATTTTAATTTGTTTATTTACAAACTCACCAAATATCTCCGATGTCACATTTATTTTTTACAGTGAATTCATACTTAGATCAACTATCGATGTCTGAGATTTGATTTTATCGGAATTAATTTTAAACGCTCCAACAATTACCATAAAGATCCCGTAACAAATAGTACTCGATAATCTCATGAAAGTGAAAATCATTTGACACGAAATTGTTTAAAACGACTACGAATATAAATAGAAACGACCGAAGCTACATATTGAAAATATGAGCTATTGTACATTGAATTTGATGCGCAATAATTGTGCCATGTTTTACTGTTTGTGACAAACTTGTGCCTCGTTCCGTTTCGGAGACAAAATTTTGTTTCGATTTCGTCAGCCCACTATTGTCACTTATAGATGATTATCGGAATAGCCATCGATCAAACGTTGCTTTTGTCCAATTCTGGTAGAAAAAAAATCCTTGAATTTAAGTTTGTACGGATGGTTCCAGACGTTCTGCCATCGGCAAGAGACCACATTTTTATTATTGTATTTTGGGTGTCATCATCAATTTATTCCTGTGACGTTATCAAGGTATTTGATTGTTTTAATTGTAAAGCACAGTAATAGCTCAGGCTGTATATTACGTTGTTTTATTAATGTTGTGATCTGTCACTTCGTTTCCATTATTAATTCTTAGAATGCAAAACAACCGCGGAATGTCCGGGAAATAAAATATGCTTTCAACCACAATCAAGACCCAATGTTTGTGATTGTCCATTTGGATTTGAAGGAGAAGATTGTATGGAACGTGAGTATTCGATGTTTTGTTTGCATTTCCCAAAATATCGACCTGGCCTAGTATAGTGATGTGAGAATGAGTGAGACAAAAATATATTGTTCAACAGGACAAGATGGCATCGACGACAGATGCCCTTATCCCGATGATCTGATTGACCTTTGCGTGGCTTCCCAAGTCGACCCCCAATGTTCTGGAGGTAACCCATGTCCGGATGGAGAAATATGTTGCCTAGGAGCAAATGGATGTTCAACCAACTGTGTTCCAATAGGTCAGTGTTATATATAATAATATCTTTGTCGATCACTACAATAGGATAGGATTCACATATTTATCCCGGGAGAGGAAAGCCGATAAGACGGCTAATTCATATGGCGAACCACGGCCTCTCGTCCGGTTACCTGTCCAGGTCGGGTATGGCATTAGTTAACCAGTTCTTTGTTTTCGCAAGCACGGACTTGATGGTGGAGGAAGACGTTACCGACCAGCGGTTACATGAACCACCCTACGGCAGCGAGGAGTCCAGCAACCCTCTCGCACATGATCATCCTCGCATGGGATTCGAACCTGCGATCCCACAAAGGGTAATCAGAGATGCGGTGGCGAGCCTATTTATTCCTAACGCTTATCACGATGCGCCACACCGCCGAGCCATAACAGGAGTATTTGTGTGTGTTATGATTTTAAAACCGATCGAAAGTCATTTTATGTGGTAGACTAGCGATTACTTTGTTTAAACTATTATGGATAATGGATTTGGTCTCGATAGTTATTTGAAATAGCCTCTGCTGTAGTGGTCATATTAGTATTTTGCCCATATTATAAGTTTGATTTTTAATGCACACAATTCGCTGGATTAGGGTATAAATTTCTTTCATTTTATATCTCAAGTTTGGTATGAGGCTTCAATAGTATGAACGTGAAGTACAGTGCGTGACTGCTAATTCAGGGTTTTGTTATATTTTAATTTGTTTATTTACAAACTCACCAAATATCTCCGATGTCACATTTATTTTTTACAGTGAATTCATACTTAGATCAACTATCGATGTCTGAGATTTGATTTTATCGGAATTAATTTTAAACGCTCCAACAATTATCATAAAGATCCCGTAACAAGTTGTACTCGATAATCTCATGAAAGTGAAAATCATTTGACACGAAACTGTTTAAAACGACTACGAATATAAATAGAAACGACCGAAGCTACATATTGAAAATATGAGCTATTGTACATTGAATTTGAAGCGCAATAATTGTGCCATGTCTTACTGTTTGTGACAAACTTGTGCCTCGTTCCGTTTCGAAGACAAAATTTTATTTCGATTTCGTCAGCCCTAGTTACTAAATATTCTCGTAAATCGCACTTATACTGACAGACACTATTGTCACTTATAGATGATTATCCGAATAGCCATCGATCAAACGTTACTTTTGTCCAATTCTGGTAGAAAAAAAATCCTTGAATTTAAGTTTTTACGGATGGTTCCAAACGTTCTGCCATCGGCAAGAAATCACATTTTTATTATTGTATTGTGTGTGTCATCATCAATTTATTCCTGTGACGGTATTAAGGTATTTGATTGTTTTAATTATAAAGCACAATAATAGCTCAGGCTGTATATAACGTGGTTTTATTAGTGTTGTGATCTGTCACTTCGTTTCCATTATTAATTCTTAGAATGCAAAACAACCGCGGAATGTCCGGGAAATAAAATATGCTTTCAACCACAATCAAGACCCAATGTTTGTGATTGTCCATTTGGATTTGAAGGAGAAGATTGTATGGAACGTGAGTATTCGATGTTTTGTTTGCATTTCCCAGATTATCGACCTGACCTAGTATATATTAGAGATGTACCGATACCACTTTTGTCGCCGATACCGATCCGATACCAGCTAAAAAAGCCGATACCGATATGCCGATACTACAGAAAGGCCGATATTCCGATACCGATACTATGTAAATATTACTTAATTAGGTGTGCTGTGTAGGGCAGACGGGTTAAAACAATGGTCTTTGAGCGTTGTTCATATCACACATTATTTCAGATCGAAAAAAAAAAATCACATAATATGAAATTAATGCTTGGTGTTTGCTTTAACTGGTTAAGATACACTGTACAGTAACGCTAGTAATCTCGGTGTTCAATTAGAAAACTCATAAGCCGGGATGTTCAATTTGAATTTAATGTTAATATCGCGACCTTCGAATATCGTTATTCGTGTTTAAAAAAATATCGAATATCACCCACACATTCTAGAGCCGCCGTCCTACGTTCAAATTAAAAGCATTTTTTAAATATTTTATTTCGTGGCTAATCGTAATCGTCGACGCAATAAGTCAAAGCCAACATGAAAGAATATCAATCAACACCGACCAAAAGAAGGCCTACATATAACCGTCGAGGATGTTTTTTTACTTTACTATTTTATATTATTATACAATTGCCATCATATATTTTGAGACAGTCTAGGCCCTCTGGGGCTAGGCGGTCATGTCAATATATCTATAAAGAAATTGTGTAGTTAAACAAAATTAATATCTGCGTAGAGGGATAATTGTGTCGGAATTTAGTTTATCGATGTCGTCGGACTAAATGACACTCGTTCTTGACGACAAACAGTCAGAATTTATACCCGTGCCAAAAGTCCATGTGCCGTTAATAAGGACCCCAATTCCACTGTATGATTTAAAACTGGGCGCCTAATTGCTTTTTGTTATGTGCCGTGTTGATATATTTCTTTATAATTACTATGTAATATAAAGCATGTCAATATAAAAATTTGACAGCGAAAATAGCTAAAAATACGTGAATCCTATTCTCTCGCGGGGGTAGGGACATGTATGGCTCATAGATCACGATCTCTTCAGACAAAAAATAAATTAAAAAGTAGTATTCCAACTTATCTTTTAATACATTCTGGACCATATCAAAAAGGTAAATATATCGGAAATATCGGCCTTAATCTAACCGATACCGATACATGGCCGATACCGAAAAAATGGCCGATATTGCCGATACCGATACATCGGTACATCTCTAGTATATATAGTGATGTGAGAATGAGTGAGACAAAAATATATTGTTCAACAGGACAAGATGGCATTGACGACAGATGCCCTTATCCCGATGATCTGATTGACCTTTGCGTGGCTTCCCAAGTCGACGTCCAATGTTCTGAAGGTAACCCGTGTTCGGATGGAGAAATATGTTGCCTAGGAGCAAATGGATGTTCAACCAACTGTGTTCCAATAGGTCAGTTTTATATATACTAATATCTTTGTCGATCACTACAATAGGATAGGATTTTACGGATGGTTCCAGTTCAGACGTTCTGCCATCGGCAAGAAATCACATTTTTATTATTGTATTTTGGGTGTCATCATCAATTAATTCCTGTGACGTTATCAAGGTATTTGATTGTTTTAATTGTAAAGCACAATAATAGCTCAGGCTGTATATTACGTTGTTTTATTAATGTTGTGATCTGTCACTTCGTTTCCATTATTAATTCTTAGAATGCAAAACAACCGCGGAATGTCTGGGAAATAAAATATGCTTTCAACCACAATCAAGACCCAATGTTTGTGATTGTCCATTTGGATTTGAAGGAGAAGATTGTATGGATCGTGAGTATTCGATGTTTTGTTTGCATTTCCCAGAATATCGACCTGGCCTAGTATAGTGATGTGAGAATGAGTGAGACAAAAATATATTGTTCAACAGGACAAGATGGCATCGACGACAGATGCCCTTATCCGATGATCTGATTGACCTTTGCGTGGCTTCCCAAGTCGACCCCCAATGTTCTGAAGGTAACCCATGTCCGGATGGAGAAATATGTTGCCTAGGAGCAAATGGATGTTCAACCAACTGTGTTCCAATAGGTTAGTGTTATATATACTAATGTCTTTGTCGATCACTACAATAGGATAGGATTCACATATTTATCCTGGGAGAGGAAAACGATAAGACGGCTAAATCATATGGCGAACCACGACCTCTCGTCCGGTTACCTGTCCAGGTCGAGTATGGCATTAGTTAGCAAGTTATTTGTTTTCGGAAGCAAGTCGATCACTAGTATAACAAAAGTCAACAGAAGTATTTGCTAGTGTTATGATTTTAAAACAAATCGAAAGTCATTTTATGTGGTAGACTAGCGATTACTTCGTTTAAACTATTATGTATAATGGATTTGGTCTCGATAGTTATTTAAATAGCCTCTGCTGTAGTGGGCATATTAGTATTATACCCTATTGCCTATTTGATAAGTTTGATTTTTAATGCACACAATTCGCCGTGTTAGGGTATATATATATTTCTTTCATTTTATATCTGAAGTTTAGTATGAGGCTTCAATATTATGAACGTAAAGTACAGTGCGTGACTGCTAATTCAGGGTTTTGTTATATTTTAATTCGTTTATTTACGAACTCACCAAATATCTCCGATGTCACATTTATTTTTCACAGTGAATTAATACTCAGCTCAACTATCGATGTCTGAGATTTGATTTTATCGGAATTAATTTTAAACGCTCCAACAATTACCATAAAGATCCCGTAACAAGTTGTACTCGATAATCTCATGAAAGTGAAAATCATTTGACACGAAATTGTTTAAAACGACTACCAATATAATTAAACACGACTAGAGATTTTCTTTAAAAACAGCGGGTCGTGGAGAGTGTCGGGAACGTACACGATACTTTAGCTGTTCAAGTTACGTATTGCTCAGGAATGTCAAGTCTAAACATTGTCACATCCTTTTAAATATTCAAAACAAGGACAAAATTCAGTGTATGAATCGTCATTGCAAACCAAGAGCTTTAATCCGAAAAAGAAAACTTTAAAAATAAACGTTTTGAGAAAATCATGTATACTTATTACTCAGGAATGGAAAGGCTAAATAAATACTGCGACATTTTCCAATACATTTATAACAAAAACAAAACTTGATGCAAGATTCGCTAGCTTAAACGCGATTTCATTTTATAGAACTTCATTTTCGCGAAACTCACACATTTGGAAGCTTCAGTGGCGGCGCATCAATAGGGCCAACCGAGGCAAAGCCCCGGTTGTTTTTTCGGTATAATAAAAAATATTCGAAAAATACCTCAATATCGGTTGCACAAACTGGCTACACTAGCCATATTCTCCCGACATGGTTCATTTTTCGCTCGCAAAGCCTTCGCCGAACGTCGACGGGGCGACGCCGATTTTGCCCCGGTTGCTCATTGTATATCGTATTCTCTCTTTCATCTTCACTCGCCGCGTTTGTCTCGTTTGTTTTCTGTTTCTTTTACTAAATCATCGGGCCGATCGGGGCTAGCCCCGAAATTATGACGACACAATGCCGACGTTTCTTACAACAACGTGTTGATATATTCACGAACTCCTTCTCGTTCGTTGGTTGCTTGAAGAGTTGATAGTTTCCTCGCCTTCGTTTTTGTCGCTTGTTTCTCTATTTTAATCAGTTATAGACCTTTAGTCCATTTGCTTTCGATTTTCCACATTCCATTTGAGCTCCTCACTTCTTTCCGGCTTCGCATTTCTTAGCCTTAGACCTCATAATGAATAAGGTTGATGCACTACTTCGCACTCCGTTTTCGCAGCTGCCGCTGGAACAAAAATTAGAGGTACAACGTCTTGGGCCTTATCGACCAAAAAATTGTTCACTGGAACAATCCAATGACGGAGGAAAGCGTCGGCGTACATTCTGCGCAGAAACTTGGTATAAAAAAAACACGAATGGTTGTGTTACAGCGAGGACAAAAATGCACTTTTTTGTTTTTATTGCCTACTTTTTGCTACCGCCCGTGACTCACGTTGGTGTAAATTTGGTTTTAGAGATCTTAAACATTTTTCCGAGCGTGCCTGGAATCATCAATCATCATCTTGATGCCGCAACTGTTTCGAAAGGGACATCTAAGGATATCCAAAATGATTTGCTCGACTCAATGTATAAAATTTATTTACAACATTTGGCTCTGGAAATTGAGAATTGCCAGTTCCTTTCGATTCAGTCTGACGAGACAACTGACATCACGTGCGTTTCCCAACTGGCTGTGATTTTTCGGTTTGTGAAAGATGGTAAACCTACCGAGAGATTTCACAGCTTTGTACTAATCGTTGATCGCACGGCTTGCGGGATATCGGCTGTACTGAAAGAAGTGTTACAGCCTTACAACGAGAAGTCAAAATTGATAGCTCAAACTTATGACGGCGCGGCAGTCATGAGTGAGTCGAAACATGGTGTTCAAGTTTATATAAAAGAAGATTTTCCTCATGCGCATTTTTTACATTGTTATGCACACCAATTTAACCTCGTTATTAAAAATATGTGTCTTGACACCCCTCTCGTCCGTATATTTTTTGCAAATGTTTCGGGGTTTTCTTCATTTTTTCCGTTTCGCCGAAGCGCTCTGACCTCCTTCGCCAGATATGTAGCCGCCGTCTCCCAGCTTGTGCACCAACACGTTGGAACTTCCAATCACGCGTGGTGCAGAGCGTGTCCGAAATTAAGTCTGAGCTCATTGAGTGTTTCAATGGCATTCAGAGCTCTCCGGTTTGGGACGAACGCTCTGTGAGGGAGGCGGCAGGTCTAAAGCTTCTGCTAGAAGATGGTGAGTTTTCATTTTTTCTCCACAATCTTCTATCACGTGGATGTATTATACGGCGCATTGCAGTCAAGGCTAATGGATGGAGCGTCTGTGCAGTCGTGTATTTCAGACTTCTGCGATGCTGTATCTCGTATCCGGGAAACAATAAAAAACGACGACACGTGGAGTGCTTCTTTACGCCGCGGGCAAACAACGCAGCGTTTGATTTTGTCTGCAGAGGAATGCTGTGACATTCTGGTGAATCAAATAGGCGATCGTCTGCGCACTGAACACCTTGCCGCGTTCTCTTTGATGAACCCCAAAAATGTTTCAAAATTTGCACGTCAATTTCCCATCCATTTGTTGGCTACTATCTCCAAATTTTACCCCATGATAAACGTGGATAAATTGGAAAATGAATTGCGATGTATATACACCAATCAAACTTTTTTGAACATCACATCAACTTGCGCGCTCTATGGCAGTGGTCGGCAACCTTTTTTAAGTGACGGACCAGTAAAAGCTGACCAAAATTCTGTCGGACCACCTGTATACCAACGAAGTATTAAGTTTATTTAATAAATTATATGCGTTAGAAAATTTATGTTGACAATATATATATTCAAAAACAAAGACGATGCTATTTAATGCAAGATCTGTATTTGTTTGCTGGCCATTAACTGTTCCCAATTTCGAGATATGGTCGGCAGTGATACACGTAACGTGTTTCTTATGTCCAAGCTCACTTCGGTATTTCGTTTTTCTAGTTGTCAATATTGAAAACCCGACCTCGCATAATGAAAAATGTAACAATGACTGCAAAGTGTTTGCTATGTCTGGGTTAGGGTTGGGCATTTCGAATCGAATAGTAAAGTATTCAAATCGGTTCAGAGCGAATTTTCGAATCGCCGCCATATTTTTTTCTTTCCGCCCATTGTCAAGTTGAATTTCTCAATTTTTTTCATTGAAGCCAATTGTTTTCAACGTAATTCCGACATATGACTTTTTCTGTAGTGAGTTATTGATGAAAACGTGTGTTTTATTGTGTGTGAACGCCCAGCAATCTGCCTGAGTGATGTATTATACGTTTCCAGTAATTTATGTGACTAGAGGGCCAAATACAAGCAGAAAGTTACATATAATTATGTATCTCCCAAGTATTCGAGATTCGATTCGAAAAAATATTCGATTCGATTCTGAAATCATCAGGTATTCGAAAATGCCCAGCCCTAGTCTGGGTATTCATCTAAAAGTATTGACCAGAAGACTGCCAAGGTATATATCGCAAAGACGCTCAACTCATTATCTTTGGAAATTCCAATGTTCTATTTGAGACAATCTCGGACGCACTTGACGCAGCATTATTGCGACATATTGACGTAAAATTGTTTGTGAAGTCAGAGATGCTGCTCAGATGCGTTTCGTTTTTTTAGTTTGCTGTTGAGTGCTGTTTTTTAGTCTTAGGTTTGTGGTTGTTAGGTTGTAAATGTGCTAATAGGGCTTTCCCCGTTTTTGTGCCACCCTACTGCGCACCGGTAGTAACCTTTCCGTGAACCGGCAATGGGCCGCGGCCCGGTGGTTGCCGACCACTGCTCTATGGGTTCCTCATAGATAACACTCTAGTAACTACCTTTGCGGCGTCTGCAAAATTTCTGAACATCATTTTGACGACGCCTATTTCTTCCGCCGACGCAGAGCGAACATTCAGCACGCTGAAGCGTATTAAAACGTATCTCAGAAACACAATGAAGCAAGATAGATTAAATTCCTTGGCTGTTTTATCCATTCACAGAGACGTTATTCTGGGATGCATGACTTTAATCAGCGCGTTATTGAGCATTTTGCTTCCAAGAAACCGCGGCGTGTTGCATATATGTTCAAGCAGTAGAAGTCTAGCAGCATATCTATCTATGAGTGAGCGACGCATGTCCATATCTTTGCATTAACTTTCCTTTCTTCATAGTAACGTTTTAAACTTTATTTTAGGTTTTGTTCTGCTTTCCCGAATTTCTGTTAATATGTCATTGTATTTATCTGGGGTAAATATTGCCTTTCCTTTTGAAAGAGGCTTCAAAATAAACTATGTCTTATATTTATTAATCCCTTGACTTGGACCGGTTTTAAAGACACTTTCTTATCGTTAACCAATTGTCGCTTTTGCCGATTGGTTGTTACCGATGGAATGGTTTTTATACTCATAAAATGATGGGAGAACTTACAGCGCTCATCCTGTCCCCGTAGATGGGGGTGACTTGGTCCCGCAGTAGCTTGCCCCGGTTGTCAAAATGACCACGCGCCGCCACTGATAAGCTCATACTGCTACATTATTCATCACAGGAGACTAGTGTCCGATTTCATGATATAGCCTTTCGTAGGTGTAAGATTAAGTTTTAAGAATAATTTCATCTTGATACTAAAAAGTTAGTGCTAAATGTGATGAAATATTGTTATTATGCAGGCTGTAAAGACCCCTTTGATCGCAAAACATGCACCGATCCAGAACAAAATCTGCATAGCCGACGATTCTACTGCCGGTTTCAATTGTCGATGTCCTTTCGGATACAGCGAACCATGTGCGCCACACGTAAGTTTCCATACTTATTGAATACAAAATCATTTTCATAATATTTTGCATTTTCTTTCAAACCAGACTGGCCAGTGGCCACAGCTGAATAATTAATGTATCGTGATTCGTAACCAGGAATTATATTATATTAGGAAAAATTAACAGCAGAATGATTAGCAATAGATTAACAAATTTTCCTCATTTTATTATAAAACCGATTTTCCATGAAAAACCACAGTAAATTACGATTATCTGAAAAAAAAATTTATTTCTAAAAGTGTAATTTTGTTCGAAATTATTATGCATTTTTTTAAAACAAGTTCGGCCCATTTCAACTATTATTCGGTAATCTCTCCGCACTCTGCTCAATAGTTTGGAATGGTGACCGTACATTTGAACCCCACGTACATTTGAACCCATGTGTATATCCACGGGTTCAATCTATATGCGGGTGCTAAAACTCATGGGTTAGGGTTAGTGTGGGTTCAACTATCCGAAAAACAAAAAAAAATTCCATAGGTGCAAATAGCATACAGGTGCAATTGCCATGGGTTCAAATTGTACGTGGGTTTCAAATGTAATGGACCGTTTGGAATTCAATTAGTGAATTAGGCGTCCAAAAGATAATAATTTTTTGTTTAACAATCCAGCATTAGCGGGTTTTGATGATGGGAATGCCCATTTTCCCAAAGTTCCTGGAGATACTTTGATGAGTTGGAAACCACGACCTGTACGAAAACTGGACGAGTGTGAAGACGATAAAAGTATGCTGTTCCACAGGTTGTGAACGGCTTGTGTGGATCTTTCAGGTAAGCAATTCAAGCATGGCCGACTTCAGTTAAATTCGAGATATCTCTTCACTTGAGTTAGTTGGATGAAACATTAATAAACATCACTTCACAAATAGACTGAACAAGCCCAGGCAATATCGTTTTCGGTGCGTTGGCGCAATGTGATTATATGTAGAGTAGGCAAACTGAGAAATTGGGACTTTGAGTAAGGCATGCAGAACTGAGCTGTTGGTGCTTGGCTTGACTTTTTGAAACAAATAAATAAACTTATAAACCTGTTTTGTTTCAGATCCAAAACCACCAAGAAAGAAGCCAAACCTTGCACTAATTGCACTTCTTTTGTCCACACGTCGACAGCGACCTCCTGTAGCACCAGCAGTTTCCCTTGTATCAGTTGCCCCAATTTATCCAGTATCGCCAATATTACCAGTGGCACCAGTTCGTTGCCCACCAAACCGATGTGTTTGTTCAAAGAACCTCGGTGCAATTTGTGAACCAAGTATAAGAGGTTGCGGCGCCAATATTCGTGATCAGCACACCAGGAAACTCATAACGCCATTATGTAAGTATACTGGATTCTAGGAATGTACTGTTGGGGTGAAATTTACGATCTTAATCGGTGATTGGTCATTGAAAATTGTCATTAAAAATTGGGTAGGACATCACACGCGAAACACCTATAGAGATAGTTATGTTATTTTGGTAAAATTTTTCTAAAACTGAGCCCAATAGTTAAATGTTTCTCACGTTATTACCAGACATAATTGAGTTAAATAGCCCTGAGGCAATTTCACCACAACTATCCAGTTTTAATATATTTTATCCCAGTTCTACGCGTGATTAGGACATTTTGAAGCGCTGGGTATTTAGTAAATAAATTGGTCATTGTTCACTATTTATTTATCGTATTGTACTGCGATTGTAGTTGTATTGCAATCGTATTGTACCGCGATCGTAAGCTGATAAATAAAGACATTGCCTCGTTAAAGTGTCTGGCAAAGACTTGGAGGATTGAGCAGTCGAGGCGCTGCTGTTGATACTCGTCGTTTAATGACAGACGATAAGCTGTCGTTCACAAACCAATATAGTTTAATAACTTAACATACGCCTTTCCAAATAGTTATAAGGGTAATAGTTTTCGCCAAATCAGTTCCAACATTTTTCATTACGTAGCCTGAGACCCCAGAAACTGACTCGCAAATAGCAGATGAAGCAACATTTTATTAAACTACAGATCTCAGCGTTTAAACGAGCCGAAACAATCATGCACTTATCACTTTCTTTGTTTTACAGGCAAATGCAATCCAGGTTATCAGATATACAGCCCTTGCTCTAAAGATAAATGTCTCGACATGTATGGAAGACGATTAGTGTGCCCGGGTCATCCGAATGCTAGATGCCGCGTGACTCAGTGTGGAAGATGCCAGGCATATTGGATGGATATTTATACAGGAAAACAAGTGACATGTCAGAGAAGACAACCAGTGAACCCAGGTACTAACAATTAAATAAGGTTTTATAGATTGAATAGAAGGTCATTTCGAAGCATGTAAACCAAGATGGCGGACGGAACTCGTATGTGTACTAAGTTGAGGTTAGGCCATAATTTCATCCCAATTTTCCTTATTTTAGTTAATTACCAGTTCTGGGAATAGTCAAGTGATTCCCTTAGTATTGTACTATGAATGTGACGAATCCAAAAAGGTTCGGCTCGCGCCGGAATCCGAGTATTTGAGCTGGACTCGTGTCCGAGTCCAATACTTTTTCATTAGCTCCGAAATAAACGTCTAAAGTGAATCTGTTGTTTGCGTATATTGGTCGTAAATTAAACATTGTGTAAAATAAGACTATGTATCGGTAATTCATAACGTTGCACATAAACACTATTGCTTTCAAGACAATCATCTTTCTTAGTTGGCGCCGATAACGATAAAGAAGAATGAGTTGTTGCAATTAAGTAAGGCGTATTTTTCTTTCTCTCCATGACACAGATAAGAAACGAATTCAACGTCGTTATGGGAGCTCAAAAGGAGAGAAGGACTCTCTTTTTCCGACGCAACCACTTTTAATAATACAAATCACGGCGCATCGAAAAGCAAAATAAAATTTATGAACATTTAATTTACTAATTTACAACGAATTACGAGTAAGAATATACCTACCGCTCTCGCTAACAGACGGAAACGACAAATGTGAGAAACCGTGTGTGTTGTGTTGTTGGTTTTTGTTTTCTTTCTGCCACTATCATATCTTTTCAATTCCTAATTTTTCATAAAGCCGGTAAACACCGCTTTTTTAATTTAGAAACGGCGTAACAGATTTCTATGGAAATTTCCGAGATTTTAGGGAAAAATATTATTTTATCACTAAGGAATGCCAATATTGCCGATTTATTTAAGTATTTCAGTATAACTGTTTTAAACCAAAGCCGAGTTGCGTGAATTCTCAGTTTTCAATTATTAATATAATACGAAAATAACACGGACACGATATAAATTAAAGCATAAAAAGTCAACTATCAGCTTCACAAATATCGCATCCCGGAGACAGTAATTATATTATTGTTCGCTTTAAAATTGGGATCTTAATTTACAAATTGTGATATGGAGGATCAAATCCTACACAGAAGATAGAAAAGAAAATTAATTTGTGTTGTGTATTCACTCCTTAATAGCTCTTTAACATCTTCGCCGATGTGAACTCATAATTATGTCCGAAATATAAAAACCAAACAACGATGTACGCGTACGCCGGGGCGTGAGAATCAATATTTACTTGTTAGTAACAAAGTGCCTTAAATTTAGTTTAACAGCATTAACTGGAATGTCGGCCGCCGAAACGATCGCGGTGACAAAAAATAATCAGCGATTATGACAAAATTAGGGAAATAAAAACGCCATATTGTTACCGAGTTTACAGTCTTCTAGAAAATTCGAAAATAGGTTTGACAATATTTCACATTCTGGTATTCGTTAATCGAATAATTCGATTGCCCCCAATAATGATGGATATGTAAATACTGATTAAATGACGATAAAAAAATCGACTCAGATTAACATTAAGTAATAGTTTCATATTTCATGCATTTGATCGGCGCTGAATGCGAGCGTGGTAAACGATATATACGCCCACAGACATTCCCGAGTTGCACTTCTGTCAAAAATCAATTTTCACGATTTTTATTTATATTTATAAATGTGAGTACTCGCTGACTACGGATTAATGGTCGATGATTAGTAGATGTTCGAATAGGACTTAGCAAAATATTCACCAAACACCGTCATGCGGAATTCGCTGCTAACGAGGCATACTTTTTAGTTCGTTAACGCCATACGTTGTCGTGGATTTCACTTTTGACGTAATCTTTTAATTTCACTTAGGCAAGCCCCCTGTTTGATCGTTGGATAAAAGAGAGAAATAGTGAGAGAAAATCGGCCGGTCAGTCTCGTGGCAAAACAGAACGTAAATATTGAATTTCTCGTCGAATGCGCCTTCAGTCTACGATTGACTATCGCGTGACGTGTGACGTCACGGACTCGGGTAAAATCATCAAAGGCTCGGGCCGAATCCGAGTATCAAATTACAAGAGTTTCGGCCACGAATCCGAGCCCGAATCTTGTCGCATCCCTAATTTGTACCTGCAATTATTGCCTAACTCTAACCTGATACACGTACTACGTTCCGATGTCCGCCATTTTGGTTCCCATACTTCGGGAGTACCAAATAGAAAGTAATGATGCTGAAAATTATTTCATAAGACTGAATTTCACAAACGATTAATTTCGACTCAAACGCTCGGCTTTGGGGAACAAAATTTGAACAGTTTTCAATAAACAAGCACCCTTAGCATGATAATTTCTGAATATTAATTGACATGCGAGTAACCGCGCAGAAACACAGAGCCATATCCTGGCCCCACCTAATTTCTGAACTCTGAAGTTGATTAATTAGGAATGAGAGCATTGGGAATGCTTGTTAGTAAATGATAATTTTGGAACTCATTTGCGCTCATTGAATGGGGAGATATAGGGTGACGCCTGAGTAGTAGCAAATTAAGCCAAACGTTTATGATATGATAAGATTTATTCATGAAGAATCATTTGATGTAGACTATTTCAAATAGTATATTTCCCCAATTTATCATTCAATATATTTTAGGTGAGGCATGTGGTCCTTGGGAGATGCCGATTCTTAGATGTCCAGATATATGTCGACATACGAAGTGCCCGAATTATCCGTATGCAACTTGTACGGTTCGAGCCTGTAATGGGTGCACGGCAAGGTACACCTACCAGCGAAGAGATGTCACAGCAGGTTGTAACCAAGTCGTGGGATAAGAATGGCTGGAAAACACTCGCGCTGGACACTAACCCCGTTAAAATGTAAAGAAAACCATTTTTCTGTATCATACACAAAAATCTTTCGCAGCTTGAAACGGTTGTTAGACCCTCGGAAACCCATGATTCAAAAATCTTAAAAATACACGGTCCCTACTATTCTCGATAATTTACGTGTGCGATCTCATGCCAAAAAATCGTTAAAACATTGCTGTTCTATAAATGTGTATCCAGTAAAGGGTTTACATTGTAATGTATATTGATGAAAGATTTAGTATTCATATACCTTATGAGATATTTAATAAATACTTTGTTTCTTATTTGTCTGCCAGTCAGAAGAGTTGCTTTTTTGTAGTTTTTATGAACTTCGACCGTTTATTATTGAATATAGCAAGCTCATTTACTGTTATTTAATCTTTAATGAAAGATTTAGTATTTCATATACATTATGTATTATTTTAATGAATACTCGTATTTATTCAAGTATTCGATCAGGAGAATTCATTTTGTGTATTTTTGTTTAATATCTCCTGTACCTGATTGCACGTTGCAGACTTATTTGCCGTTCTTTTATTGTAGAAAGGATATTTCAATAAACACATTAATCGGTGAAGTACTGCTAATAGCTGTTTTTGCGAGTTGCAGCGATTACGTAAAAAATTACGGCATAATAAGTTCACTCAAAATCAGACGTGGTCCGACCACTCGAGGCGGACGTGTTGGCCACCTCTAATATATGGAAACGTAAAAATATGTAGTGCTTATTTATTATCTACAAATAAAGCATTCATTCAAACTATACACGGTAAGTTCGGTAACTACAACGTATATTAGAGTACAACCAGATTAAGAGAGACTAGTCAGCGTGACCAGCTCCACTATACGAATGATTCCCACCAGAAAGCCGCAGGAAACGTGGTAGAAGGTGAAGTTATAATCCTTGATCAACATCTAGCGGTATTTCACAAACACACAGCATGGACACTACACGACTGGATTATGTTATTGGGACACAAAGGTAAAACCTAGGGGACTTTCCTTTTTCTTTAACAATGGGACCAAATATCCTTGACATTTTCAGTGTTTAGAA